AACTAAAAGAAGACAGACTAGGAAATATTTGCCACACATGTAAAAAAAAAGACGAGTCTCTGTATATGTTCCAGCCTGGGTAACAGAGCAAGATCTTGTCTTGAAAAAAAAAGAAAAAAAAAATCCTTCCGGGTTCCTCAAGGGAAGGGCGACACCATTAACAAGGGCAAAGGAATGAGCAGGCTGCTCAGAGAAAAAGCCATTCGAGTGGCAAGTGGAAGACAGGAATTCCACCACACTCAGAGTCAGAGAGGCGCGAAGCAGCATTTCATGTCTAGGAGCACAGGAGAGACAAGGCTGCAGTGAGAAGGGCCAGGGGATGGCCTCTGTGTGTTGTCACCCAATGCCTGGATTCCTGCCTTTGGGGACTGAAAGACTCTGGCTCCAGGGGGCCGGGAACCAGAGTTCCACTTTCCAGCCCCTGCAGCCCAAGCCGATGCTGGGCCGGAGGTGGGGATGGATGTGTGGGCCCTCCACCAACACTGGGGGCCACACTGAGACACCACCATGCACCCGAGTCCAGAGGTGCTCTGCTGTTTGCAGCGCCCGTCTGCTCTGATCTTTGTGGCCTCTCCCTGGTCCTCTGGACTGTCCACATTTTTTGCTGTGAGCACCTCTATTTGGGGGCAGGAGTCCTCAGGCTCCACGTGGGGAGCTGGGGCCAAGCCCAGTTTCAGATTACATTCTTAGGGAAGGCCTCACCTCATCCCTGAGTCTGGCCCCATAGGAGCCAATACCATCCCCTAAACAGCCTTGTCCCCTGCACAGCCCCTCCAAATTTATGTCGGCAGCACACCCTCAACCAGAAGAGTTCTCTCTCTGCTGGGGCTCCATGGCCTGGTATCCCCTCCTCCCCAGCCTGCCTTCAGGGTGGTCTCCCCTGGGCAGTCTCTGCTGAATCCCAGCAAGGCTGAGGGGTGTCCCCTCCTGGGCTCTGGCTCCAGTAGAGCAGACTGATGGCTTTTAATCCTAACCTATTTTATCAGGGTCCTAGCCTAACCCTAACCAAGCTCCGCCCTCGAAAGACCTACCTTAAGTCAGACTCTCAGATCCCAGGAGTGCCGGGAGGCAGCTAGGGCAACCCATCCACAGGTTTTTTGGTGACATTCTGGGGATCCAGCATTGGACAATACTCCAGGGGCATTTTAGAGTTTTGTGGACAGTGCCAATTTGTGCTCCAGGGGCTGCATCCCAAGACAGCATACAGAGGCCTTGTCATCCTTGCCCTCCTAGATTTGAAATGCTGCTTCACTGCTCTCTAATTCTGGAGCAAGATGCAGTCAGGGTTGAGGAGTTGCTGCTGGTGGCAGAAAAGAAAGACAGAAATTGAAGCCCGGGGAGGACCCGACACTCCGGTGCCGACTTGCAGGCAGAGGGGCCATGCAAGAAGGAGCAGGGGTGGCCCTGGAGCAGAGAACAGCCTCTGCAGACACCAGCAAGGAAACAGGGGCGTCAGTCCTACAACCGCAAGGACCTGACTCTGCCGACACCTGAGTGAGGCTGGGCGAAGATTCCTCTCCAGGGCCTGAAGATAAGAGTGCCACCAGCCACACCTGGACTTCCTCCTGTGCGACCCTGAGCAGACAGCCCAGCGAACCCACAGGGTGAGAAAGGACTGAGCTGTGACGAGTGTTGTTTTAAGCCACTGAGTGTTGGGTGATTTGTTACACAGCAATAAAATCGAATGCCGCTTGCAGGCTCTGATGAAGCCAGCTGCAGTGTCAAAGGGGCCACATGGCAAGAAACTGAGGACAGCCTCCACCACAGACAGTGAGGCACAGAATTCGGCCAGCGCCATGCCAGTCTGGTAGCAGGCCCTCCCCTAGGGGAGCCTTGACAGGGTTATGGCCCAGCCAAGACCTGGACCACCTCCTGGGCGCGACCCTGGGGAAGAGCGGAGCCGTGCCCCAACTCCCCGGAAACAGTGACACACAGATGTGGGTGACACAGGACACTGTGGACCATGAACCTGAGCTGCCCATCCCACATTAGGTGCTGTCCGAGCTACCGAGCTGTCAGCAGAAACTGCCAAGGCAGCAGGGGTGGCCTCTCTTCCCTCCTGCCCTCTCCCTACTCTATCTGTGTGACAGAGTTGATCTGATCTGCCTGATCTGTAGAGAGGGATCTGGACGAGGTCCTGGCGTAGGATGGCACAGCAGAGCTCTGGCGTGCCCAGAAAGGAGGTGGTGCTGTGGGAGAGGGTGCAAGGGCAGCATCTGATCCCTGGATCGTAGGTCAGGGGCAAGTTCTGGAGGGCAGCAGCTCCAGGACGCCTTGCACTCCCCCAGTTTAGCAGCAGCATTGCTGCGGAGCTCCCTGGAGGCCTCCCTTATCACAGGCTGAGCCCTGATCCTGGTCACACACTGAGCCTTGACCTTGGTCACAAACTGAGCCCTGATCCTGGTCACACGCTGAGCCCTGACTGTAATAGGGAATGGCCTGGAGAAGAAAAAAAATTCTGTCTCTTTAAAACTTCCTCCACTCTTTTTGGAACCTGCAGCCTGGTCTGCATCCCTGAGGCAGGTTAAGTCTTTTGTTAAAACTCCCAGGCAGCTGATGGAGTTCACAGACTTTGTCTTTGGCAGAGATGGGATGATTAGAATAGTTAACCACAGTAATTGCCTGAAGCTGAGAACACTCCCTTTAAAAGCTCTGTATTTCTGCCTCTGTTCAAGTCATTTGGATTTTGACATGGCAGTTTTCATTTTTCCTCCCTTTGCCGACAAAGGAATAAAAATGTCTCTTTCCTTCCTCCCCAGACCGCTTATCTTTGTTCTTCTGATTCGGCCTTGTGGACAAGTGGCCAAGTTTTTGGTTACATGACCTCGGTCTCACATTGAGCCCTGATTCTGGTCACAGGCTGAGCCCTGATCCTGGTGACACACCGAGCACTGAGCTAGAGGTTTCTGGAGGAACTGAGAAGGGAAGGGCGTGGGCCTCCCAGAACAGAGCCCTCTCAGACAAAGCCAGTCCAGACCCTGGCTGGGCTACATTCCTCCCCAGCCCAAGCAGGTGGCCGCAACTTTGCAGAAAGGCTCAGCCTGGGCTTCCCTGGTGGTGGTCAGGCAGAAACTCTCGGAAGAGCTGAATGCCTGGGGGGCAGGCAGGTGTTCCGTGTAGAAGGTGCCTGGGGGGCAGGCAGGTGTTCCGTGTAGAAGGTGCGGGTGGAACCCCTGGGTCTGAGGACAGGAAGAAGGTGGGCCCTGCCATGGCAGAGGAATTGGGTCAGGCCCCAGGAGGAACCCAGGGTGTGTGCGGTGTGGCGTCTAATCCAGTTAGCTTCACCCAGAGTCAATGGTTGGTGGCATCATGGCCGTGTGGTGACATGCAGAATCAGACAGGCTTGGGCTGCTACTCGGCCACCACCCAGGCATCACTAGGCAACCTTGCCTAAGTCAATTAACTTCTCAGAACCCCAGTGCCTTTACCCAAACTAAAGTCAGTTAGCACCGTGTACCTCCATGGCTGCAGTGAGGAAAATAAGATCGTTAGGCCAAGTCTCTATGCATGCTGGGTGCCAGGGGATCCTGGGTGCCCCCCAAGCCACCACCCACGCACCTTCGGCTCCCACCCAGTCAGTGCTCAGGGAAACACAGGCTCTCCCAGTCACATGGGACAAAGACCAGATCCCAAATGGAGCTGACCCCGCAGGAAGGCTTAGGGTCCAAGAAAGGGCCATGTCCCCAAAGACAGAATTTCAGCCACTGGAGGAGCAAGAGAGGGAAGAGCGTTCCTGGCAGTGGGGAGAGCAGGAACAAAGTCCAAGATGGGGGTGAGATTTGGACACTTGGGCAGATGGCCGGGGCTGCAGTGCGAGTCTGGGCACAGCCCGGTGAGACTGTAGCCTGGACCCTCAGGGAAGAGACACCAGGCCCCTGTCAACACACCGGGGAGGGGATGGCAGGATCACAGACCAGGCCCACCCTGAGGAGGCTGGAGCAGGTACTTTGGGAGGATGTTCACAGGGGCGTGGGGAGCTGTGGCTGGACCTGCCCTGAGCCCCCAGACCCAGATTCACCTATTTTCTGTCTGAGCTTTGGTCAAGCAATGTCACCTCAATTTCCTTACTACAAGGAAGCTAGGTAAGCCCTGCCTGAGGGCAGCCTCATTAGACTATTAGAAATCAAGGTGCCCAACCAGCAGAGCCAGGGGACACAGGATTAGTGCCTCCAAGGCAACCCCAGCCCCTCCTCACCCACCCCCACCCTCCATTCAGGACTTTGTCTGTTAACCCAGCAGTTTTCAGTGCTTGTCTCCTTAAGCCTCTGAGCAAACTTTGTGGCTGTTGTCCAGTGGTAATTCAGCCCCCAGTCCCCAAAATCCCCAGCCTGACCCCCTCAAAGGAGCTGGGAGGTGGGGCCAAGGTCATCTGGGAAGATTCTAGCCTGGAGCCACTGAACCATGAGTCTGCCCTGGAGACAGGAGTAGGGCCCAAGGCAGGAGGGGACCTGAGGGGTGGGGGAGCCCTCCCAGGCCATGTCTGGGTGGAGGGGAGGTGGGGGAGGACCCCAAATGGGAAGGGGCGTCCTGGAAGGACTATGGGAAGAGCTGGAGGGGTCATGAAGGGGCAGGGAGGAGGAGGATCAGCCTGGGGCAGGGAGGGAGGAGGCGGGACCAGGCAGGGAGTGGCCCCACCAGGCCTGGGGTGGGGTCTCCCCACCTCCACCTGGTAACTGGAGCCCACTAATCTGCTCAGCTAACCAGTCTGGGCACTTGGTGTCCGTTGTCCCTGCTGTCCCTGCCAGGCAGGCCCAGGGTGAGTGTGGAGCCACCAGCTGGGACCATGCCGGGGACCCGGCTAGCACTCCTGGCGCTGGTGCTGGCTGCTTGCGGGAAGCTCGGTGAGGCGCGGGGCATGTGGGGCAGCCCGGGGAGAGGGGACCCCACCCCACAGACATTCCCACACTGTCCCCAGGGAGGGCCCCTCAGGAGGAGGTGGAGAGGACAGAGGGAGTGGGGGTCCCAGGAAGGTGTGGCCTACCACTGGGTCTAGGAGGAGAGTGGGGCGGGATGGCTGGGGGCCCTGGCCGGAGTGCAATGGGCAGAATGTGGCCTTCCAGATGGGCAGGGGCCCAAGGCTGGTATGGCAGTGGATGACGAGGAGGGAAAGAAATCAGACAACAGGGTGGGGTCACCAGGCTCGGGTCTGAGAATAATCAGGGACCATGACCTGGACTCGAGGGGCCCCCCATGGTCAACTGGGAAAGGAGCTTGGTCCAGTGGGCCTGAGCCAGGCAGTTCTGCCCATTTCCCGGAGGGAGAAACTGAGGTCAACCAGAAAGTGGCAGAGGCCCCAGGCAGCTCACACAGTGGGGATGGAAGAGCCTGTGGGCTCACTGTGCAGGGGGCTGCTAGGGCCAGTTAGAGACAGGCAGACCCCGTGCACTCCTGTGGCTGGGGCCAGGGACACTAGGGCAGGAGGGAAGTAGACTCACCTCCAGCCCCAGCAGCCTGCACTCCCTGGGGAGAGGAGACCCTCTGTTACACGGGCACCCGCAGGCACACCAGACATGCCAGCCCACCCTGCACCTACCTCCTGGCCTGATCCCTGAATCCCCACGCAGCCCTTCCCTGGGAGGGAACCAAGGGGTGACCTGCTCCTACCCACGCCTGAGACCCACCCAGCCTTGGTGCCTCTCACTATGGAGACGCCAATGCCTCAGGCTCCCTGTGCCTGCCAGATACTTCCAAAGCTGCTCCATCTGCACTGGCCTGTGGGCTGAGCCCATCTCCCCAGTGGCCTCACCCCAGGACCAAGCTCGTGGCGTCTTCCTTGAGTTTTGGCCAGCGGGCATGGGGACCCTGGCCAGTGTCATTGTCCCCCTCAGAGCTGGGCGTCCAGGGCAGGGCTGAGGACCACCCGGCAGACTGAACCTGATCACTTCCCTCGCAGCACTGGCCCTGCAGTGCTACACCTGTCAGGAGCCCACGAGTGTGTCCAGCTGTGTCAGCATCACCACCTGCAACGCCAGTGAAACCATGTGCAAGACCACGCTCTACTCCCTGGAGATTGGTCAGTAGGCACCGGTGGGGCGGGGCTGGGGTCCCAGGTCAGAGCCACCTCCAGGCCAGGCACCACCGGCCAGTTCAGCCCCCGGCGACAGTGGGCAGCCACCTTGTACTCATTTCCAAATTAGGCTTTCTGTCCAAGCAATGAGGCCTCCCTCTCTCATTTCCTTCTTCCCCTGACTCTGTCCCTTCCTTTACTGTGGCCCAGTATTGGTCCCTGGCCTGTTAGGAAATAGGCCGCGTATCGCCACCTGAGCTCTGCACCACCTTCCCCCCACCCACGACACCCCATCCTCCCTCTGCGGTCCGTGGAAAAATTGTCTTCCGTGAAACCGGTCCCTGGTACCAAAAAGGTTGGGGACTGCTGCTTTAACGGGAACATATCTACAACCTTATTTGGGGGGTCACTGGCTTGGTTCCACCATCCACATTGGGGCAGGAACCGTCCCATAAGGGGAGAAATGCTGGTTCAAGACACCAGGTGTGTCCCTGGCATGTAGCAGGCACTCGGTCACTGAGCCAGGAGGGACTGAGTCCTGGATAGGCAGCCCCAAAGGGGCTTCTGCTCAAGGGGAACGTGGGGCCGCGGCTAGGGGCAGTAAAGGAACGCCCTAACAGCTGACTCCTCCTGGATCCGCAGTGTACCCCTTCCTGGGGGACTCCACAGTGACCAAGTCCTGCGCCAGCAAGTGTGAGCCCTCGGACGTGGATGGCATCGGCCAGACGCGGCCAGTGTCCTGCTGCAACACAGAGCTCTGCAACGTGGACGGGGCATTTGCCCTGGACGGTCCCTGTGGCCTGGCCTTGGCCCTGGCCCTCACACTTATCCCCCTGTTGAGCCTCTGACTCTAGACCACTCCCACCCCCACTGTCCCCACCCTGTGCCACCCAGCCCCAAATCCCCTGAAGAAGTCATGCCTGAACCAGGCCTCCTGAGTCTTCTTTCTGTGCAGGGCTGCGTCTCTGGCTCTGTCCCTGTCCCTGTATGTCTGTCTCTCTTCCTGTCTCCCTGTGATGTGGTTTAAGTTCTATAGCAAGGATGGTCACTAGGCCTGGGACACAAACCAGGCAGATCTCTGCCCTTCAGGCCCTCAGGGACTGCTCAGTGGAGCACCCCGCTGCCCACCTCTCCAGACCCCGAGCAGGGCGGTACCCCGAGACTGCTACAAGGAGGCCGTGGGTGGGAATCCAGCGAGATCACCACCTACCTTGTCCAGGCCCACCCACACATCCAGCCCCTTCCCCTGCTTTCCCCGAGCCCCACTCCGGGGTTGGGGGACGTCAGGTGCCCAGGGCAGCCACAAGCTCCAGTGCGGAGGGGCCTTCATTTCACCTTCGCTTGGAATCAGCACCCGAGTCCTCCAGGCCAACCCCCCCGAAAGTCCTCTGCCTCACAGGCCCCCAGGCTGACGCAGCAGTCGCAGGCGTGGATACACACTTGTGTGGACACACACCCACACACACACACACACACACACACACACACACACACACACGCTCAGTCCTAAAAACACAGAACGAGGGCCCGAGAACTTGAGGAAGAATGGGACCCAGCCCTCCCACCCAGAGCCAGCCCCTCCCCAGGGCTGCCCTGGGGACAAGAGATAGGCCCTGGCCTGAGCAGAGGACTGGGCAGGGCCCCCTCGTTCACCCTGGGACCTGCGCCCTGGCCCTGCCCCTACTGAGACCAGACTGCAGAACAGGACAGTCCCTGACACCTCTCGCAGCTGCTCCTGGGCCCCTGGGCGAGCCAGCCTCCTGGGGGAAGACCTGAAGGCTGCAGGGCTTTTGGCCCTGGGCCTGCTCCCAAGGGCAGGATCCCCACAGCCCAGCGAGCCCCACTGGCCCTGGAGTGCAGTCAACCACACAGGGGAGCCACCATCTAACAGAGAGGCCCTGGGGCAGAACCAGGGCAGCTTCCTGGAGTGGGGGGGTGACTGGGAACTTGGGAACATTCTAGTGCTATCTCGGATGCCCCATCTGGGGCTGTGACCCTGAGCTTTGACTTTGTCAAGAGGGAGCCATGGCTCTCAGCCACCATGTCATACCTCTCACCTGGATGTTATCATGTCTCCCACAAAAGTGAGGAGTGGTGGGGTCACTTGGCTTTAAAGCCTGGGCTGAGGCTCAGTACACACAGACATACCCTACAAACACACATGTACCCCACAAACTCCCACAGAGACTGGGAACCAAGCCCATCTGTGACCAGAGATGAGGGCTCAGCCTGTGATCAGGATCAGGGTTCAGTCTATGACCAGGGATCAGGGCTCAGTCTGAAACCAAGGCTTAGGGTTCAATATGTGACCAGGGTCAAGGCTCAGTATGTGACTGGGGAAAGGGTTCAGTCAATGACAGGGGAAGGGTTCAGTTCATGCCCAAGCACAGGCTATGAGTGAGACCCAATCCAAGCCTTAGAACCCTACCTTTGACCTTGATCTCATTGGTTATGAGGCCACCTTTTGGGTATCTGTCCCCTTTCTGAGGCTCCCTATGGCCTGAGTCCTTGAGCCGGCAGGGAGGAGAGGCAGAAGGTGAGCTGCTGGGGCAGGGACCCAGCCAAGCCAGGCCCCACAGGTGTAGCAGCCTGCGCAGTTCCACAGCCTGTAGGAGCTGAACAGTGCAAGACGTGGCATGGTGGGGAAGGGAGGAGCTAGTGGCCCCAGATTTGGGCTGGAAGATGAGACAGGAGCAGGTAGGGAAGGGAAGGAGCTGGATTCTATGTCTGCTGGCACAGACCACCCTGCCCCTAGCGGGTTGCTCCTCTCTGTGGGGGGTTGTGGTGACAGGGAGGAAGAGCTGACAGTCTGGCAGCCCCTCAGGCCGGGCCAGGCAGGGTGGGCACCAGCCACCAAGGGTGTGGCAGGGCTTTGCCTGCATCCTGAAGGGAGAGGAGAGCCTGGGGTTCTGGGAAGAGCAGTGGTGAGGTACAGTGTACATTTTAGCTGGCCCCTCAGAGTGGAGGGTGGAGGGTGGAGGGTGTGGCCAAGGAGGAGGATCCAGCCTCCAGAACACAGATGGCCTGACCAGGAAGATGTGGCCAGCTGGGTGGGCAGGTACAGGCAGGGGCCATGGATCCATCTTGGGGAATGAGTGAGGGTCATTCAGGTGGCCTGGTCAGGCCTAGAGAGGGCCCTAGAGGTTCCTCTCCATCCTCCCCCAACTGAGATGGGCAGGCAAGAGGAAGGAGGGTCCGAGGGCACCGCTGGAGTCTCTGCCAGCTGCTGCTGACTGTCTTGCAAAGTCCAGACAGTTTTCACACACAGCCCCGCATTTCAACTGTCCAGCAACCCCGAGGGCTAGGAGCAACAAGCGTCCCACTTACAGATTAGCCGCTGAGGCTTAGACAGGGCTGAGGCCGACCCAGATGAGCACTTGCAGGCTCAGGGAGCTGGGCTGCCCCCAAGGTCACACACTACCCTTGACGGGGCTCAGATCTGGTCTCCTGATTCCACCTGTGGGGCCAGCAGGAAGGGCATGGATCTACCAAGAGGCGGGGGGAGAGGAGGGCAGTAGCTCAACTAGGGCATAAATCCTGCCCTGCCTGGTTATGTCTGGCCCAGGCACGGTGCTGCTTTCCCATCTGCCAATGGGCGCTGGGCACAGGGATGGGCCAGGGTGGTGCCTGATCTCCCCGGAGGAAGGCTATGTGTGCCCCTCTCCTGGCTGCTACTCCCACCCGGAGCATCCTCCCAGGTCTTCCTTCCCTTTCAAAGCCAGGGCAAGCGGCTTCCTTCCAGGCAGCCACAGCCAACAGCACGCCGGCAGCTCCATGGACAGGGCCCACACCTGCTCGGCTCGCTGGCATGCCCACCCCACCTGTGCTTCAGGTACCCCTGCACTGTGATCTGCGTGGGGCTGAAAGCCCTACAGAGAGACCCATCCTTAGCCCAGCACTTGCTAGTTTTCACAGCCACCCCGCGGGGCGGATGTTCCTCTGCCCAGTTTGCAGATGAGAGAAAGGGGGACGAGAGTGCCTTGAGCAGGCTTGGGTAACACGGGAGGTTGGGCGGAGGCGAGACCAGGCTCCAGAACTGGACAGTTCCTGGCACCTCTCGCAATGTCTGGGTGCGTCTGCAGACCAAGCCCTGGGAAGGAGCCGCTCCCGCTGCTGTCTGCGCACCTCCTGAGTACAGCCCCATTGTTCGATTCGCAGTAACCACGGTCTCGCCCTTTGCAAACCATGCCCTCCCCTTGCTTTCTTGCAACCATCCCCAGCCTTGTACAACTAGCCTCAGCCCACACAAGACCAGGTCACTTTTGCAATCTACAACAGGAAACCAAAGTCTAGAGGGAAAAAGGGGCCACCCCAAGGCCACACATAGAGAAACCAGCAAGGCCAAGACCAAAACTCAGGCCTCCTAGATGGGTGCCAGCCCAGAACTCCTTCCAGCAGCCCGTTCTGCCTCAGCAGGGCCCATGCACCATGCACCTGCCTACCCGCACTTGTCCAGCCGCCCATCCCTCCATCCCTCATTCTGCCATCTCCGCATTCCTCTCTCCACCATCTACCCTCTCAAACATCATCCATCCAACCACCCATTCGTCTGTCCATCCACCTATCTACCCAACATCCATCCATCTATCCCTCCACCCATCTGTCCACCCATCCACCCACCCACTTATCCACCCATTCATTCCTCCAACCATTCAGACTTGCTCTAAAGGCTATTAGCCGAGAAGGGGCCAGCAGCGCTGAGGGACCAGTGCTGGGCCCACACCTGTCATCCTGAGAGGGGCCTGGCTGGCCCACACCACCCCCACCTGACACTGTTCACACTTCACCAGGCCCTCACCCTTTTCCACACGGGCCTCTACTTTGCAGGCATGTGTATCAGGTGCACCAGGCAGAGGGGGTCTGGGTGTGGAAGACAGTGGCCTTGGCCCTTGGCCAGCCAAATGGGGCTGTAGCTCCTGAGTAGCCTCCCTGCTAGGCCAGGCCAGGCTGCAGGGAAGGAGCACCATGCAGGGCCTGGGCAACAAGGGCCAAGGCCACCCAGGGCCTGGGACTTCAGGGCCCCCGAGACTGGAGCTGTGTGGCCTATGTGAACCTCAAGGGCAGAGCCAGGATGTGGGGGCTCATCAGAGGGTCAGGCTGAGCTCAGTGGGAAGGGCCTTCTCAGTCAGAGCTGTCCCAGGACAACAGGGCATGTCTGGGGAGGGGTGAGTTCCCTTCCCCAGGCTGGAGGTGTGCAAGCAGAGGGCAGGGCCACGGTCCTCAGACTGGTGCTCCCAGGTCCCACCCCCCCCAGGGCCAGTGAGTGACGATGGCTCAGGTGGCTCCCTCCCTTGTGACACCCTACTGACTCACAGACCAGTTCCCGCCGCCACCCAGGGGCTGGTGCCCAAGGGGCCAAGTGGGTATAAATCTCAATGTGAGGCCAGCCGCCTCTTCCAGCTCCCGAGCACGGAGGAATGGCCTCGTGCTGGGCAGTGCAGCTGCTGCTCATGGCAGCCTGGAGTGTGGGCTGTGGTGAGTGGGCCGGATGTGGCTGGTGAGGGACCATGCCTCCGGGCCTGTCTGCCTGCCTCCCAGAGAGGACAGGGCTATTGGGGGGCTCTGTGGCTGAAGATCTCCTCCGGGCCCCACCAGCTCATCCTCCTCACTCTCAACGAGCCTTCTGGGTCCTAGAGCCCAGCTTCACCCCAGGACAGGGGTCATGGCTCCATTCTCCAGGAAGGGAGACTGAGGCTCAGTAGAGGGATGCAGAGTTCCAGTCTGTCAGTCAGCCAGAGGGCTCTGAAGGGTCACAGTTAGTCTCCAACCCCTTCCTTCTGGTTCCAGGATGGGTTTTGAGGCCAGGTGATAAGGGTCTGCCCCTCCCCCCCACCTTACCCAGGTGAGGCCTTCAGGTGCTACACCTGTGAGCAGCCCACAGCCATTTCTTCATGCAAGAACATCACTTACTGCAAGCCAGAGGACACAGCCTGCAAGACCGAGCTGGTGACCGTGGAGTCGGGTGAGGCGGGGCCCCATGGCAGGCCTGGGGTGTGCAGAGGTCAGGGCCACCTCCCCCAAATGCCTCTCTCACCCTGCAGTTGCTCCTCTGGGCCTGAGAGGCGGCAGGTGGGAAAGGCAGGGTGGGCTTCCCCACCTTAGAGGGGGCCCGTGCAGCTGAGGGGGGGTGCATAGCCCCTCAGGGACCCACCCTGGGGCACCAGGCACTGGGGATGGGGTGGGGTAGAGGCAGAGGTCCCCTGAGGAGCTCAAGCCCCAGCTCTGCCACAGACTGGCAGGTGATGTTGCCTCAGCCTCTGTCTTGGGCCGGTGCTGCAGATGCATGAGGGGCTGGGTCACTATCCACGAACATGTCACAGTTGGGGCAAGGGGTGCTAGGCATGGAGGACACCCCAGACCTGAGCCCTTAGGAATGGGGATGGCAGGGAAGGGTCGGAGGCAGCGCGCAGGGCCAGGCAGGGATACAGCTCTGACATTGGCCACCCTGCAGAGTTCCCCTTCAACCAGATCCCTGTGGTGAGCCGCTCCTGCTCCACCTCCTGCATTGCCACTGACCCCGACAGCATCGGGGCTGCCCACCCGGTCTACTGCTGCTTCCGCGACCTCTGCAACTCGTGAGGGCAGCGGCTGGGAAGGCACTCCTCAGGTGCCTCCTCTCCTGACAGGGCCTGGCTCTGCCTGCGGTGCCCTCTGCCCACAAGCCTCCACGGGCAGAGCTCACTGGGCCTCAGGCCACTCATGGGACCTGAGGGGAGAGAAGCACGCCAGGGGCGCTCTCTGCCCTGTCCCTCAAACTCCTAGAAAATAAATAAGCCAAGGGTGGAGATGACTGCTGTCCTTCCTGGGTACTGAGAACCCACAGAGCTGGCATCAGGACAGCCAGGCTGAGTCGCGGCATGTTTCAGGCACCTGACGCTGGCTCCAATCCAGGGCCTTTTGGACCCATTTCACAGATAGGGAAACAGAGGTTTAGGGGGGAAAAAGCCTCCTGGGCCGCCCTTCCTGCAAACTAACCCCACAACCTCTCAGACCAGGATCCATACCTAAGCCCAAGGAAAATCTCCTTTTCCCGCAGAAGTCCCGGCTCAAACCCTGGAGCTGTCACCTCCACCCCAGAGTGGAAAGGAAGCTCAGAGCTGGAATCCACTTTCTTCCAAGGATGGATAGGTCTAGCTCTGCCTGCCCGGCCCGAGGGGACTTCCCAGCTGTGTGCACCTTGGCCTGCTAGCACCACACAGCTCCACGGCCTCAGTCACGCCCTCTGACAACCACCTACTGTGCCCTTGGGATGGCTGAGATTAGAGGAGACTGTGGCTGGAGCTGCAACACTCCAGTGGGCATCTGGTCAGGGCTGCCCACCCCTCTCCCCAGGACTCAGTCCCAGAGGCGAGCCTCTGTCTGAGAGGATGGAGGCAGCAGCATGTCCTCAGGGGCCTTAGGACCCAGCAGACCTTGCTTTCGGGCCCCTGCTGCCCCACTGTAGGGAGGGGGTCAGTGGCAGCAAGGTGCACAAGGTGGCTGTGGGGCCTGAGCCACCCCCTCTCCAGGCCCCAGTTCCTATCCGTGTGCTCTGGGTTGGACACCTTCTAAGCTGTGCACAACTAGGCCTTGGGTTTTAAGGCCCCACAGGTCACCTAACCATGACCCTGGGGTCCTGCTGGCACCTGCTGCTGCTGGGGTGGGAGTGACATGCAGCAGGCAGTGGTCTGGCCAGCTTGGCAGACAGAGGTGCACGGGACCCCTGTAAGAGTTCACCTCTGTCCTTGAAGGGCCCAGGGGTCAGTACACACTCCCACTCTCCCACCTTCGTGCCCTCCCAGAAATACCAGGAATTCACACCCTGAGGAGCAGCTCCCAACCAGAGAGAGCTGCCAGAGAGGCCTCCTTTAAGGCGTCCCACCTGGGGCCCTCCCCACTGGCTAACACCGTGCCTGCAGGTCCCCAAGAGAGCCATTCCCTGGCATTACCGCCGGACTCCAGAGAACCCCACTGGGCACTGGATTTGGAGCCAAGGGGCTTCTCTCGGCCCAGCGTCCGCAGTGGAGCAAGGGGATAATGCTCTGGGCCCTTGGGAGATGGGGTGGGAAAGCCTTGGCGCTGGGAAGGCCAGCGCAGGACCGGCGCGGCCAGCAGAGGGCACACGCCCGAGCCCCGGAGCCTGCGCGAAGAGCCTCTCCGCCGTGCAGCCTCTGCCCCACCTGGACCTCCACCGCCAGCTGAGCCCAGCCTGGTCCTCAGGGGACCACGGGGAGCTCGGCAAGCCCTTGCCCTATGGGCTGGCCTTGAAGACCTCCTGCCCTGCCTGTCCCCGCCACTCTCCCAGGAAACGCGACGCATGAAACTGGCGGAGGCACAGGTGGAACCTGGGAGGCGCGCCCAAGTGCCGGGATAATGTGCTCTCACCACCTAGGGGACACGCGCGGCCTGAGGAAGGAGTGGGCGCCACACCCTGTGACAGCGCCAGAACGGAACGTGGGGAAAGCTGGAGGGAAAACAAGAGTTGCAAAGAAATGCGGGAGTGGGGGCGGAGAGGAGACACCCACCCCGCCCTCCCGCGCTGTGCCAAACCCCTCCCAGCAGTGGTGTGCCACGCTTGCTGTCCCAGCTGCTCCGGAGGCCCAGGCAGGAGGTTCGCTTGAGCCCAGTAGTTGGAGGCTGTAGTGAACTGTGATCTCGCCACTGCATTCCAGCTTGGGTGAAAGCGAGACCCTGTCTCTAAAAAACGAAACTAAACCAAACCCCTCTGACTTCCTAGAGAGGTAAAAGGATAGAGTATTACTCTTCTGTTGCTTTAAGAAATCACATAAACAAGGGGAGTGTAGAATGCTGGGCCATTGCCCTCCAGGCCCTCAAGGGCAGGACCCTCAGCCTCCCCAAGGGTGTCCCCAACTTGCAGGTGTTGAGTGGGGAAGTCAGACAAGATGGGCCCTCATGACACATCAGCACCTTTGGTCAGCCTCACTGAGCCACCTTGCCATGTTGGAAATTCTGCCCTAGCCTGTTTCCTTGTCCATGAGGTAAGCAATGGTCCCACTGTCCAGGGATTCCAAGAAGCCAGGCAGAGCTGCACTCCATTCAGCAAAGCCTTGGAAGTGGGGTCTGCATCCCTGGGTCCTGAGGGGGAAAAAGCAGTGATCAGCCAGCTGAGCCCAGGAGGCAGGCACTCCAGCCAGGAATGCAGCAGGCAGCGGGCCAATGTGGGCCCAGGGACACCAGGGCTGCCTCCGAGACCCCACCAAGGCAGCCTGGGCTCTGTCCACCTGGCCCTCAGAGCACACACTGCCCTCTCCCTTAGGACCATGGTCCCGGAGCACTGCCTTCCCAAGCCCCTCACTGCTTCACCAGCACCCACCGAGGGCCTCCTGGGCCTGGCACCTGGACACCGCACAAACCCCAGACACGACAGGGGGTGGGGCGCCCGGAGCTGCATCATTCCTGCAGCTGTCAGCCCAGGGGAGGCACAGAGGGATACCAGGGCCCACTCTGCGCATGGGCCAAAGCAGTGACTTTTCTCTAACTTCTCTGGGCAGCAGGCCTGTGGGATGAGAGTGGGTCCCACTGGAAGAACAAGGCACTGCCTCATTTCCAAGTCCCAGCCGCCCATTCCCTGGCCTAGGCCAGTTCCATTGCCAGGGATCAATGCCCCCTAGTCAGCAGGGCCCCTCCTTCACTCCGTGGTTGGTCCATCCTCCAGACATAAATACCAGAGAGCCCCACTGGCCTTAAACCCTCTGCTGAGCTGGCCGAGAGCCTGGCATGTTTGTTCAGCCCCTGCATGGACAGTAAAGCCCCAGACGCCTTCAGGGTGCAGCCCCCTCAGCCATCTTCGTGCCCCCAGCCACCCTGAACATCCCCTGAATACACACACTCATCCTGAGTCCAGTCACTGAGCCTGAAACTCCATGTCCGGGCAGGTGTGCCCTTCCACAGCCTAGGGACAGCCCCTGAGCAAGGGACCCACAGGGACATGTTCACATGGTACCACACAAGGCCCAGACGCCCCATCCTACAGCCTCCACCCTTCTCTCAGGTCCCAGCCAGCCATGCAGGGCTGCTGGCTGGACCACTCTGTACCTGAACCACCTGTACGCCCACCACTTCCTGTCTGAAGTCCTCTGGGAAACCTGTCCTCTGGCAAGGTCAGCTCAGGGGCCCCAGGAGTAGAGCAAGGCTTTGGCTGACTGTCCTGGCTGCAGCCGACCCGGCAACCCCACTGAGTCACTTCCCCTCTCCAGCCCTACTTCCCCATCACCGAAGCTGTTTCAAATCCAGGTCCTGCAATCGCCCACTCTTTCCCTGGCCTTTGGGGCTTGCTGCACTCTCAGGACAGGTGGCCACAGCACAGATGTGGCCCACACCCCCTCACCTGCTGTGTCCAGGGGTCCCACTTTTCCCTTCCCTCTTCAAAGGGCCTGCAGAACAGCCCCTCTGCTCTCTGCCCACCCCACTCATCAAAGCCCCTTGAACTTGGCCCCCAACTGCTACCCCTACCCTGCCCCCCCAACTCCAGGAGCCTGGAGGCCCAGGCTCAGACTCTGGCGCCCGACCTCCCAGGGCGATCCTGGGCCTCAAAGGAAGAAAACTAGAAATCTGGGACAGGCATCTGGATGGGGGCGGCAAGGCTCAAGGGCTGGGGTCCAGGAAAGGGTCAGGGCAGGAAGTGCCAGCAGCGGTCTTTGGGCAACCCCTTCCTAGCCTCAGTCCCGTGTTCTGTGGGATGCGGACAAGTCCTGCCCTGCCAGCCTGATCCCTAAGTTCATGGAGCCTGACAAGCCTGGACAGCCCCCCACACGAGAAAACACATCCCGGGAACGGCCCCTGTGGGGAAGGGAGCGGAGTTTCAGAAAGGAGGGCCTTCCCCACACTTGCACTTGACACCCTTTAATCTTGCATTTTCTTTAAACGAAACAAAAAGATTGCAGCGCTCCCATGGTGGCTTTAAGGCAAGAACAGCAGCAGCGTGGGGTTGGGGTGGGGTGGTGTCACGGGTGTCCCTGCAGCTCCTGGCTCTGGCTCAAGGGGGATTCTGGGGGTGGGCAGCAAGGAGGCAGTTCTGGGTCAAGCTGCCATCTGTGCCCTGGGCTGGCAGGGGCAGGGGCACAGGGCCTAAGCGGGCAAGCAGCAACCCCCACACCCACCCAGGCCCCAGCACCCCAGCTAGACAGGGCACCCTCTCTCTGGGAGCTGAGGGCACTGGCCAGAACCTCTGGCTGGGGACCAGCCCCTCCTTTGCCCTCAGTTTCCCCAGTTGTTAAGGACAGGGATTAGGCAGGAGCAGGCAGCCCTGGCCAGCATCCCAGCAGCCTGGTGATCCCATCAGGTGCCAGGACAGACCACTAGAGCAAGACAGGGCATGGCCCAGCAGCAGGGAAGAGGCCTGTTAAACAGAAGGCAGAGGGGCCAGGAAAACCCAGTCTTCTAGCAAGGCAGCCCTCGAGCAGGGAAGGCGGTCAGGCAGCGATGGCTCTCATGGGAAGACAGAGGCCTGGGATCCTACAGTCCAGAGAGGGCAGGGCCCAGCCCAAGGTTACACAGCATGGCCCTGATGGCCACCCACAGAGTCCCAGCCCCTGCTCTGTTCTCTCTGACCAAGGACACTCTAGCAGGAGGCCTGCTGCCTCTTCCAGAGACCTGTACCAGCTGACCCCTCCCAGCCACAAGCCCCAGCTGCCTGCCCGGCCCTCCCGCCCAGAGGCCAGTGACACCAGGGGAGCTTGGGTAACCCTGTCTGCTGTTGTCAAATGCCAGCCAATCCTCCCTCCTGCCCTCGGTCTGCCTCCAGCCCAGCCTCTGACCAACCAGACTCCACCCTGGGCCTGGCCCCCACCTCACCGGACGCCATGGGGCTGCCTGGCGAATGCTATCTCTACCCTTCAGAAGTCCAGCCCATGCCCAGGACTGCTCTGGCCTGACCCTGCCCCGCCCCTCCTGGCAGCTCTAGATGTGCTCAGGCCGCTGTGCTCCTGGCGCATCCTCCCCACCTAAGCCATAGAAGTATGGCTGGGCCAGGCCCCCCTGCCCATCCATCCCCACCCCAGGAGCAGAGCTGGGTCAGGGGGCCAATGCCACTCCATACCCTGCCCAGCCCAGGGCCCAGCACAGAGTGATGTCAGTAACTGGGGAGCCCAGCGAGTGAAGGGGGCTGGGCAGGGGCCACTCCAGCTCGGAGAGAGCCCAGCCCAGCCTGCTCTTTCTGCAGGACAGGCCACCAGACAGGCAGGGAGGGCTGGGTGTGGAGGCAGCGGTCACTGGTCCTTGTTGACATTGCGGAGCCCACTCTCGGCACAGAGCAGCTGGCTGCTGGCCATGTTGTAGGTGATCCAGTGCTGCAGGTCTTCAGGCAGCTCAGGGGGCTCCACCTGCAGAAGACAGGAGAGTGAGGCTCCTGCAGGTCACATGCTGCTATGGGGGTGAGCAGGAGCCCAGGATGTGCACCCAGCCATGCTGCTGCCTCTCACCTCTGGGTCTCTGCCTGTGCCATTTCCCACACTATGACCTCCCAGGAGTCCCCTCCCCACTGCCCGCCCCAGCTGTGCCCCAGACCCCTACCCAGCCCCTGTGCTTGTACTTTCCTTGGAGCTCTCTCCACAGGATCCTGCCTTTGCCAGGCCTGTCTCCCCAGTGGGGCCATGCTCAAGCCCTCTATATCCCCAGGCAAAAGCCCCTGAGGCTGGCAGGTTGGAGGGACTGATGGGAGACCCAGAGGAGCCAGAGGCCTCAGGAAGTCGGTGCAGGGGGAAAGGGTTGGAAGGGGATGGCATGGGAGCCACTCTCCCAGGAAAGTGCTGGATGGGGCTTATGGAGAGTGCGCCGAGGGCACTGGACCTGATCTCCAGGGCAGCTCTGGGCCCGACCACTCCATTCCCAGCTCTCCCAGCTTGGCTGCACCAGCTGCCTCCTCCTGCACACACAGCCACTATTTGGTGATGGGAGCAAGACCCTGGGCCAGGCGTGAGGGGTCAGAGCCCTTGTAGATGGGCATTGGGGACTTCCAGGATGAGGGGCGAGGCCAGGCAAATGCCTACCTGACCTCAGGGTCAGTGGCCACACAGAGGTGCTTAGAGCTGGAGCCTGGGCCTTCCTTGCAGAAGGGCCAGGACCAGGGAGGAGGAGCTGCCCAGCCCCATGGCAAGTCCTAGCAGAGCGGGGCCTGAGCTCTGCACCAACGTCTGGCTCCAGCCCAGCTCTCCCTCCCTTGCCTCAGCGCCCTGCGCTAGCCTCTCAGCACATAGAACCCTGCCCTGGACTCAGCCTGCCTTAAACCACACCCACCACTTGGGCCTGGGTCCCTCACCCACCCAGGTGCTCAGGTTAGACACCCGGGCAACTCCTGGCCACCCCTGGCCTCCAGCTGAGCCAGGCACCCACAAGATGTAAGCTCTACCTCATGAACTCTGTCCTTGCTGCAACATGGTCCTGGCCCCTCGCCTCTCACATGGACCTCACCAACCAGCCCACGTCTGACATCATGCCATCCCACGCAGAGAATTGCCCTGCCCCCCCCCCCAGCCTCCATGTCCTCACTCTCAACCTTGACAGACACCCCCTCCTGGACTCCTGCCACATGAAGGGACACAGGGCCCAGCATCTGCCTTGTGGGGGCAGAGAGGAATTTAGGCCCTTCGAGGGGGTTCCCTGACTCAACACAGACAGACCAGGGAGCTGTGCCTGTGGCCCACTGTGCAGCTTCAGGCAGTTGCCACTGCCTCTCAGAGCCTCCGTTTCCCCACCTCTGGTATAACCTCTCACGACTGAGGTGAGACTGTGTCCCTCCTCTTCTCGGGAGCTGCTGTCCAAGGCCAAAGAGGGGCAACTTCCTGCCTGAGGGTGTGGCAGGGGTAGGCAGGCCCCAGCTTCTCCCCTGAGGGCTCCAAACAACTTTTGAAAAGCCTGTCTGTGTTGGCCTGGCGCGGTGGCTCACGCCTGTAATCCTAGCACTCTGGGAGGCCGAGGCGGGCGGATTGTTTGAGCTCAGGAGTTCGAAACCAGCCTGAGCAAGAGGAGACCCCGTCTCTACTAAAAATAGAAAGAAATTAATCGGCCAACTAAAAATATATAAAAAAAATTAGCCGGGCATGGTGGCGCATGCCTGTAGTCCCAGCTACTCAGGAGGCTGAGGCAGAAGGATCGCTTGAGCCCAGGAGTGTGAGGCTGCTGTGAGCTAGGCTGACGCCACGGCACTCACTCTAGCCCAGGCAACAAAGCGAGACTCTGTCTCAAAAAAAAAAAAAAAAGCCTGTCTGTGGCAGGAGCCTGCCCTGGCAACCATGGCCACCATGGCCATCCCCAGGGCCCTGGTTGCCATGCAGTAGGCTCTGCTCTGCCAGGAGAAGCAGGCCCTGGGGAGGAGCCTTGAGCCCCAGACAGACACACGTGGCCCCTCTCTCCACCTGGAGAAAAACAGGAAGCTTTCAACTCTCCAGGACCTAGGCCTTCAACCTCAAACCCAGGTGACAGGGATTCATCCCCTCAGCAGTTAGGGCATGGAAAGAGGTCTCAGGTCCCCAGTAACCTCCTCTAACGACCACCGCCCTCCAGCCCTCCAGCCTATGTTCAGAACCAAGGACCCGAGAGAGCGGCTCGGCACTCCAGGCCACACAACAGCACCAGGACCTGCACCCCTAGGACCGGCCTGGTCTCGGCTTCTCTGTTTTGGAAGAGGGGAAGGGTGCACATGAAACTGTGAGGGGCCAGGTTAAGAGATGGGAGGAGGGGAGCACGCTGAGCCCAACTATGAAGTGTTGATTCAGGGACCCTGGGACCCCCATGGTATCAGGGAGGCAGGTTCTCGGTCCACAGAAAACGGCAGGAGCGGTATGGGGTGGGACGGGGCACCCCTAAGAGGCGCAGACAGCAGGCCTTCCCCAAGAGAGGGGGCTGGGGACTAGGAGGCCTTGGGGACCCCGCAGAACCAAGCACGGGGCGGGGCCGCTCACCCTACGTTTGCACAGGTGCAGCACGACGCGCTCCGGAGAGGTGCCCAGTACGTGCTGCCGGAAGCGCAGGAGCGCGCACACGAAGTCGTCACGCAGGCTGACAAAGCGGGCCTCCAGGTAGAAGGCGCGGTCGTCCCAGCCCAGCAGGCGCGTGCGCACATCAAAGGGCTCGAGCAGGCGCAGCGAGCGGCGGTAGCGCGCGCACGAGGCGGCCAGCACGGTGTGCGCCCCCAACTCTCGCAGCGCCCCGAGCACACCGCAACGGGTCAGGTGCGTGGCGCGCGCCACGTCGGCCTCGCGCAAGTAGCGCGCGTTGTTCATGTGCAGCATCAGGTCCAAATCCGAGGGCAGCACGCGGCCTGGGAAGCGCTGCTCCGCCAGCAGGTCGCGGACTCGCGGCTGCAGCAGGCGCGCGCGTAGCACGGCGCACGGCACGCGCACCAGGTACCAGCCGTCCAGCAGCGCGAAGAAGGCGAGCGCCAGGGCCAGCAACGCCACCAGCAGCACCGGCATCGCGGCGACAGCGCGCGGTGCGCTTGAGCCCACCGCGCTAGTGCCGGCCGGTACTCGCTGCGCCGCTGCTCGCCGCCCGGCCGGCCCGTCTGGGAACCCGCAGGCGCAGCGCGGCCGGAGCGAACCACTTTGGCAAGCCGGCTGAGGGAGGCGCTGTGTCCCCCCCTCGCGCCCTCATGGTCCGTCCCGCCTCCCGTGCCTGCGCCGCGGTCGCTTTCCTCCGGCGGGGCGGGGCGTGCTGAGCGCCACAGCGGCGTCTGGCGGCCGCGCCCAGCGCTGCAGGCGCAAGGGTGTCCTGGCCGGTGCGCAGCGTCTGCGCGTGCGCAGCGTCTGCGCCTCCGCCGCGAGTGCCAGATCCCGGCGCGTCTCTCGCTGGCGGGGAAGACACGGACCAATCCCAGAGGTTTGGCCTTTGTCTCAGCAAAGTCAAAGGGTCCAGCACTTTGCCAGACTAAGCTACGAGACTTTGCAAAGACAATGAGACACATCCTGGTTCCCAGCGGCGCTGCTGGGAGACGCTACCGGACCCTCCTGCTTCAGAACCTCCGGATCTCCCCACCCTCGCAGGGCGAGGCCCCAGGGCGTTCGCGGAGGTTCTGGACCAATCGCGACCTGTCCCCCGTGCGCATTTTCAGTCCCAGCCTGTAACCTCATTCCAACCCCCAAAAATCCTGTTGACGCCACTCTCATTCCCAAGCATTCCTACCCTTTGGAGCCGGGTGAGCGTAAATGACTCAGCAATAGATTCGAAAGTCTCTTGCCGTGGGCACTTGGGACTCCGGCCCAGCCTGCGGCCGCACACGCTTAAATGTCCTGTCCCTTTCCCCTGGGAGGCTGGGGAGGCAAGGCGGCCAGGGAGGCCGGGCCAGCTCTCCCTGGCAGCCCCCAGGGCTCTCAGATGACAGCGTGTGCCAGTGACCTAGCATGCCACCTCATTAGGTCTGCGCTGGAGTCCAGGAATCCGTGGTGGGTTTAACGAGCTCCCAAGTAAGGCTGCAGGTTCGAGAGGCTCTGACAAAATATTGGGCAGCAGCTGGGCTGAGAGGGGCTTTAACCCAGCATACACTGGTCCAGAGCTGGGGTTGCAGGGTTCTTGACTGCCTCAAAGGAGGAGCTCGGTGGGACAGACCACCCCACAATTCGGGGTCTGCTGTACATGCCTTGGTCACTGTCAAGGGCAGAGGCTGAATTCTTTGTTTTTCTGGCTTTGTTTCTGAGGCCAGCAGCTGTGGCAGAGTGGGGTCTGGTTTTCCTGGGTCCTGGAATCTGCCTGATACTCCCAGGGACCGGGAGCGCATTGTCCTGATCTAAGAAGGGCTTTTGGCACACACTGCTCACATTTGTCCCTGTAGCACCCTGTCCTGACTCTGAGGCCTCTCCCCCTGGAGGGGCAGCCCCTCAAGATGAAGAGAGTGAGGACATATCCTTTGAGTCCATCAGCTGTTGCTCAGAGAATGCAGCCTCCTGGTCACCCACTTTGCCCACTGTGTCCCATCCCGCCAGAGGAGGGACCCATGGTTGAAGGTCCAGCCCTGGAGATGTCAGCCAAGGTTGGTGAATGAGAAACCATCCTGGAGCTTAGAATACCTCCATCTTCCTGGCCCCCTCTACTCTTGTTGTTACAGGCCTCCGAGTGGAGGTTTTTGCAAGTTCTTGGTGTTTGTTGTGAAAAAGAATTTCAGAACTCACCACATAAACCAGCCAAGCAAAAAGCTTTATTAAAAGTGGAAGTACACTCTCAGGAAAGAGAATGGGCAGGCCGGAGAAGGGCAGCTACACTGAGAGAAAATGGTCTTACCTCTTTTCTTTTGTGGTCTTACTAATTGAGGGGAGGAAGGAATATTCAAAGCCAAGGGGTTGGCTTTTACTAACAATTTGGGTAGTAATTCCTAGAATTGGGTTTCCTCCCATTTTCATATTTTATATGGTTGTTTTGGAACTGTCATGGCAATATCAAGGGCAGAGAAATTTTAAAACCACAATGCAAATGATATCGTAATTAGCCAAAGTTCAGGTAAGGTGGCAGAGATGGCTGACAAGCTGGTTGAAGCCAGTTCTTGCCTGTAGTTATCAGCCCCTCCAGTTAGCTTCTGTCCAAGAGCCGTGTAGCACCTGTGATCTTTGGGCCCCTACATTGGTCTTAACCCTGTCTTCCAGTCTCTTGCTCTAACCCTGTTTCATTCCAAGCGTCCACTCTCCAGGCCTCCCCCATCCCCGAGTGAATGCACATGCACACACATGCTATTCCTGCCTCTCCCACCTTCCCCTTCCCTGACCCCCCGGCTGGGCTAGATCCCCAGGGTCTCCTCATACAGGGAGCCTCTCCCCAGGGTGAGGAGAGGTGTGCAATTTTACACAGGTACGATTACATAAGCAGGGAATACCTGTCTCCCTGCCAGAACCTGAGGCCAGGACCTGAGGCCAGGACCTGGTCTGCTTCACAACCGCTGTATCCCTGGGCCAGTGCGATGCCTGGCACATGGCGGTACTCAACACAGCCAGATGCTGGAGAGACTTGTGCCTTCCCCACCCTCCACCACCGGGCTGCATCTGTCCCACACAGTGGACAAGGGCATCTTAGGGTGGGTCACTGGCAATTTATTGGGAGGCTCGAAGGAGTCTAAGGAGGTGGGAGAATCCTGGGCTCCAGACCTGGAAGCCCCTTCCTTGACCTGGGCTTGGGGTGTCTGAGCCCGCAGAACTGTGCAGCGTGGAGGGGCTTGGGAAGGCGGGCAGTGGTGCTCCTGAGCCCCTTGGTTCTGGAAGGATTTCCATGTGTGTGGTAGTACTGAGCATCACCACCAGAGCCAGGATCACAGCCCACGTTCTAGTGGCTGCCACCTAGATTCACCCAGGTTCAAGCCTCCAGGGCTAGGAGGAGTGCGGGCTCAGGGTGCTGCCCAGGGGAACGTGAGCAGCAGGAGCATGGTGGGCACGGGGCACCACCCCCGCCCAGCCCGGCCTAGCGAGTTGCCTGGGGCCTCATAGCAGCTGCTTCAAGTGTGCTTCTGGCCCAGCTGGTTGGGGTTAGAGGGCTCACACGTGGCTGTGCACACTTTGGTCATGGTCACTTTGCCTGAGAAGAGGGAAGAGTAGGGGTTGGGTGGGCACAGATCTGGGTTTGCAATCTGGGGGGCCCATGAGCTTTAGGTGCATAAAAAGGGGGTGATGGCTCTGCTGCAGCTCAGGAGATGCACTCTGGGGCACACTGAGGGGTTGCCTGCTGGGGCTCTTTTCTGGGTGCATGTCTGCCCGGGCTGGGGCTGGAGGCAGGTGATCTTGCCGGAGTCTGCTGAGTGCCCCACTGTTCAGGCAGCCAGCTGTGTCCCTGGGCCAGGAGCATGTGTAGCAGTGCAGAGCCAAGCCTGGGCACAGGGACGACCCCTCTCCTGGGCCACCGAACCCCCACAACCTTAGCGGGGTAGGTGGATGGGAGTCTGGGATGTGGAGACTTGGGTAAAAACCTCATACTTTCTGGCACTCCCAGGACTGTGGTGCATCTTGCTTGGCCCACAGAGGGACTCCCTTGGGTTATCTCCCAGGATGACCGCCACCTGGGGCTTCAGAACTCCTTCCTGTCCAGCTTGACTCCTGCAGCTGAGTCCACTGGCCTGGCCGAGGAGAGGAGCGGCCCACTCTGTGGGCCCCACTCCAGGGAGCAGGCTGGAAGCAGGGAAGAGGGAAGCCAGGGAGAAATGGAGGGGAGGGGAAGGAGGGAGAAAGTGAAGTGGGAGAAGGAAAAGAGACCCTATAGATCGCCCCTCTGCCTCCCACCCACCCTCAGCCCTGCCTGCAGCAGCCAGAGAGTCTGAACATGTCACCCCTGAGGGAGCTGACTTGCCCCCGCTCCGGAGGGTGGCTAGGAGCAGCTGTGTGACCTCAGGTCAGTCCCTTCACCTCTCTGAGCCTGTTTCTACCTGGGTGATAATCTCTAGCCTGACCACTCACTGTGTGATTGTGGGTGAGTTGCCTTGCCTCTAAGTGCCTCAGTTTCCTTCTCTGTGAGGGATGAATGAATGAGGCATGGAAAGCCGGTAGAACAGTGCCTGGAAAGTGGTAAGGGCTACATCAGCACTTGCTGTTACTGTCCCCTGTTGTTGTAGATGTGATAGGATCAGTCTGGTGGCTCACACAGTAAATGCTTAGGAAATGGCATCTGGAAGACTGAAAAGGTCCACCCATCCAAGGGAGCACCACAGCCATCAGGTACAAGGACAAGGGTCTGTGTTTCTTCATATGGACAGATGGCAAGTAAACGAGCAGTTTACCCACCAGGTGCAGTGGCTCACGTCTGCAATCCCAGCACTTGGGAGGCCAAGGCGAGAGGATCACTTTAGGCCAGGAGTTCAAGACCAGCCTGGGCAACATACAGGATCCCGTCTTTACGTAAAAAAAATTAAACATTAACTTGGCGTGGTGGCGCACCTGTAGTCCCAGCTACTTGGATTCCTTGAGCCCAGGAGCTCAAGGTTGTAAATGAGCTATGATCATACCACTGCACTCTAGCCTGGGTGACACAGTGAGACCCTGTCTCTTAAAAAAAAAAAAAAGCAGTTTACCAAAATCCAGGCACGCACACTGAAAGTGTGTATCTGATGTAGTTGCATAGGAAACAACATGAAGGCTGCCACAAAGTTGACAGATATTACTCTAGGGTTTGGGGACGCGGGCTCGCTCTTTCTCTTTCTCTTTTTCTTGCCTTTCTGTAGTTTCTATGGGTGAGGCGATGTGGGAAGAGAAGGAGGCGCTAGTTCTAGTCCAGATTCTGCCTTGGGGCAGCTGAGGGACCCTGAGCAGGTAAAGGACCCCTAGAGCCCTGCGGAGCCAGGGCTGGGGTCTGGGCTGCTCCACAGGTGGCCCTCCCTGGCGGGTCCCTGCCCTTGGAGAGGTGAGCCTCCTGTCAGCCCTGTGCCCCCGATGTGCTGTGTAGCCAGAGCAGGCTCATAGTGTGAGGGAGGGGCAGGCCTGGCTCTTGTCACAGGCCCTCAGCTCAGAGGCTCCGTGACCTTGGGGACAGCTCAGAAGGTCAGAGGCAGCCCCAGGTTACAATTTGGCACTCCCCCCCTCCCTTACCTGGCCCGAATCATCAAATACAAGGAAGTCCCGGGACAAGATGTAGGGGCCCTTTGCCCACTCTGCCCCTGTGCAGCCCCAGCCTGCAGGACCCTGATGGGCTCCAGCACTGGGACATATCTGACATCTCTGAACCTCAGCCCCAGGGAGAAGGACCCCCTCCCACTAGGTTCGGCTGATGTGAGGGCACCTCTGTGGGCTCTGAGTCTTGCTTGCTAGACAGGAAGCCATTCTCATCACCCCCAACATTTGCCTGTGGACTTCCAGGGCTCCGAGAGGCCTTCCTTGCCATGCCCACATTTTGGATCCTCTTTCCCTACTTTATTTTTTCTCCTAGCCCTCATCACTCTCAGGCTACATATTTTGTGTTTATCCTGTCTATCTGACTCTACTACCCTGTAGGCTCTGGAACCTTGGATGGCTCTAAGGTGTCTGGGAGGGCTGGGGAGCACCCACTGCACCGGGGTGACTGCTGTATTTGAAGTGCCTGCAACAGCACCTGGAACATAGGTGCTCGGTAACTGTGTGCTGAGCAGATGGGACAGTGCAGGGTACCAGCATCCCACACCGGCGTCACTGACGATCACCGGGGCAGGTCAGCAAGCCAGGGCCAACAGCTTCAGGAGACACAGCGTGGCCAGAAGCACAGCCCTGAGCACCCATCAGTCCTTGGGCTGCTGTTGGCCCAAGTTGCAGCCCCAGGTCCTGCACCAGAGCCCTGATGGGTACAAAGTTATACCTGGGGCCCCCAGGTCTGCAGCATGCTCCCAGAAAACAAAGGCCGAGCCCTGGACCCTGGCCCCTGGACCCTGGACCCAGGCTGCAGACCAAGGCAAGTCTGTGTGCTGATCATGCCCTGGGCCCCAGTGAGGGTGGGCGTGGTGGGAGCTGGAGCCCAGAGCTACCCCAGGGAAGCTGGGTGGGTGGGCTGGGCCGGAGGTCAGTGGGGCAGAGCACTTGAGGTCACTCAGATACTGGCCTGGGGAAGGTGTACCCTCCCTACATCGCTGCCCTAGGCCACCCAGTGTTCCAAAGGGAAGCTCCCACCTGAGGTCACACCCAGGGTGAGCTGCCAGCCTGCTTCTTCCTCAGTGTGGCGCTGCCCTCAGCTGTCCCCACCCCTAATCCAGAGCTCCAGGGCCTGGGTTCCAATCCTGGTTCAGTATGCAGTGTGGGTGACAGACCCCTTCCCTCTCTGAGCCTCTGTGTCCTCTTCTCTGAAAGAGCCCCCATGGCCCCCAGTGCTCCTAGATGCTTCACCCTGAGCATGTTTTCACCCAGACCACGGGCCACCACCCCCAGGCCTGGGACAGTGAGGCTGGCTGTTTTCAAAGAGGCTTTCCCAGGAATGAACAGAGCAGGGATGGGCGGTGTCCTCCCGGCAGGCCTCAGCACTCCAGGTGTGCAGGGATGCTGGCATGGGCACAGGACCTCCCCGGAAGGAGCCCTGAGAGGTGTGATGGGGCACCTTCAGAGGGGAAGGGACCTGGGGGTAAGGGTGGGGGAGGCCACCTGCAGTGGGTCACTGGGGACTCTCTTGCAGCACTTGAATGCTTTACTGTGGGAATGCAGTTCTTACAGCTAACAATTTTTGAAAAACAGAGGGGCTCAAATCAGGCCAAATGGAGGGGTGGGGAGCTCAGTGGTAGCAGCTCTTTCCCCCGGGAACGCTCTTCTTCCCATGAATTTTCTGGGTCCATCCTCACAGTAGGGAGGGGTCACAGATGAGCACCTAAGGCTCAGAGAAGTTTGGCAATATACTTGAGGCTGCACAGCTAGTGTGAGAGCCCTGAGAGAGGCTGTCTGGCCTTCTGCAAGAAGTCCTCCCTTCCAGGTGCCACGCATTTGCTCCTGCAAGGTGGGAGCTGCAGTCTATAAAGTCAGGGCCACAGCCACAGACCTGGGTTGGGGGGGCATCCAGACACAGCCCTGGACCCTGCCCCCAGGGGCGTGCAAGGACAGAGGCTCTCTCCAGCTTACCTAACAGGTGTTTATTGAGGGCTTACTGTGTGCTGGGGCTGCTGCTCAGGGACCCCCATGGACATGGGGGGCAGGTCCCTCCCTCCAGGCCCCATCTCTTGAGACTCCTAGGACCTCATACCACCCCCATAGTGCCCAGTTCTACTCAGCCCATTTTGTCTCAGCCTTACTGGGCCCTCCTGAGTGCCTGCCCCTGCTGGTGAGGGGACACCATGGACCAGATCTGGCTCAGCTCACAGAGAGGGTAGGTGGGTAGGGAAGGCTTCTTGGAGGAAGAGGTGCCTGAGCAGAGGGTTAAGAGTGGGGGATGTCGAGGGGTTGGAGGGGCTATCTGCAGGCCGGTCCGTGTCACCAGAGCCCAGCCTGCCTAGCAGGTGGGCAGGAGTCCAGGAGGGCCAGAGGGGCAGATGGGCACAGCCACACCTGTGTTAGGACATGCGCTCAGGGACCAGGGCTGCCCCAGCTCAGCCTGGGGTGTGTGAGGAGTGTCCCAGGGCCCCCGGGCACTGTGCCCAAAGTGGGCTGTGGCAGGGTGCTCCTGTAGCCTAGAGTTGACTGGGGACCCAGAACAGCAGGCCGCCCAGCGAGGTAAGCAGCACCAGGGTGGTGACAGCCGGCTGCAGAGTGTGGGCCCCACTGGCGTTGCACAGGTCGGTGGAGCAGCACGTGACGTTCTTCTTGCCCACGTAGTAGTTCTGCGAGTCGTCCACACAGTGCGAGGTGCAGCCCTTGCTGAGGAAGGTCACGAGGCCGGCAGCGCCTGGTGGGGCATGAGGACCAGGTACTTGCCGCCTGGCCTTGCTCCTGGTCCCCCCCTCCCCCCAGCTGGAGCTCCAGAGCCACCCTGTGCTGGCCTCAGGACTGCAAGCAGCGTGAGGGCCGGGCTCATCCGTGTCCAGATGCCAGGGCAGCTGGGCCTCTCGCTGGGCACGGGAGTGTTCAGGGAGAGAGCGAGTGGGGGGGTGGGATGGGTGGGCAGGTGGCTGGCTGGGAAGCTGAGCACATACGTGTGGGCAGGTGGGAAGAAGGATGAAGAACTCAGGGGCAGAGACCTAAGCCAGGTGTTTTGGTCCCCGTGGAGGGAAGGGCTGGCGCAGGGACAGCGGGGCCACTCACGGATGCGCTCGGTCCAGCACTGGGTGTCCGACTGGCTGCAGTTCTGCACGTGCTGGCAGTCGCTGTTGCTCACCTTGGCCTCACAGGAGTAGCACTGCAGAGCGTGGCCTGTGGGCGGGGCGGGTGCTCAGGGGCTGCCACCGGCTGGGCTGGGGAGGCTGCAGTCTGCCAGCCTCATTTTCTCCTCCCTCACACAGGAGCTGAGAGTGAGGTCCCAGCCCCTTCCAGACTGTGGGGGTGGTGGGGACAAGGGCAAAGAGAGCTGGACATGCCCTCACGGGAGGGCAGTGATTCTCCAAGTACACCTGGAGCCGCTTCTCTGTGCACTTCCTGCTTGGTGCCTGATGTGCCGCTCAGGGTTTCCGAGCTTTGTTAAAATGCCCATGCTGCTGTGAGGGAAGGGTGACCAGTCCCAGGGGCCCTGCTGGACACCGGAGTGGGTTGGGGCATGGAGGAGACCCTTCCTTGACTTCCCCAGGCACCGGGCATCGAGGCCCACCCATCCTTGTCCCCCAACAGCCTGTCCAGGACAGCGTGGCCTTGGCCCCTCAGGCCTCCTGGATGCTATGTGGGCCCCTGGGTTAGGCCCTGCCCTGCGCTCGGGGTGGCCTGGCTGCCAGCTTGTCCTGACCCTTAAGCGTCCCCCCCTTCAAAACAATAGTAAAGCTGGGATCCAGGCCCCCTGTGAGAGCAGGAGCTCAGAGCCATTCTCCCCGCCCTGTACTCAGTACCCCATGAACTTTGCCCTTTTTAGTCCCCGGGTGGCCTTGGGCCGCCATTTTTATGATCCTCACTTTCCAGAAAAGGAAGCTGAGGCCCTGAGAGGTTTAGTGACTTACACAAGGACCCTCGGCCAGGAGGGACCATGCCAGAGCAGAGCAGCACAGGCCAGACCCTCCCACGGGGCCTTGGGTCCTGTCGGATGCCCCAGCACCCCTCCCGCCCCCCATTCTTCTCCCTTCCCTCCAGGGCGCTTCTTAGCAGGAAGCTTTTCGGCCCATGCCTCCCAGCTGTTGGTCAGGATCTCTGTTCCTCCCTCTGTCCAGCCATCCATCCATCCTGCCCCTCCAGGAGCCAAGCCCCAGATGCCCCTCCATGCCAGCCTCTCACGGGATGGCAGGGAACAGCTCCTGGTATGAGCAAGTCCTGGCTGCCTTCCTGGTGGTGCCAAGAGCTGTCCTTGAGGGCTCCAGGCTGGGGCGAGGGCCCTCGTCCAGCGGACTCCCTTCCTCCCTTTCTTCCACCTGACCCCCTCCGCTCCCCTGCACCCCCGTCTCTCCTGTGGGTCCTCCCTGGCTCAACCCTGCCCAGGGGCTGGCCAAGGCCTCACCTGGCTGCAGGGCCAGGCCAGCGGCCAACAGGGCAAGGAGGACGGCCTTCATGGTCACAGGCGGGCAGTTGTGGAACAGGTCTTAGGGCGGCTTTATATGGTTTCGGGTGCGGGTGGGGGCGCGGGCAGGGGCGGGCTGCCCATGGCCAACACCAACAGGTTCCCTGGAGCCAGTGAGGGCCCGAGGGCTGGGCAGATTCCAATCCCCCACAGGCTGGCTGGCACCTCCCTTCCCTTTGTCCTTCTTTCTTCCTGGAGGGCAGATCCTGCCCAGGGCTGTTTCTTTGCTACCCCCAGGACAGAGCTGGAAAGTCCTCAGGCCCCAGACTAGCTTCGCCCACCTCACAGAGCAGCCCACACAAGGAAGACGCTTTCTCAGGGTTCAGCCACTCCCCAGTCTTCCAGCCAAGGACGAGGGCCTCATCCCTCTGTCCATGCAGGAGCTGCACTGCCCTTCTAGGGCCTGTGGTCTTGGGGTGACAGGCCTCCATCAGAGTGTCACAGATCAGCTAGGGCCGTGTCCAGGGCAGCTAGGGCCGTGTCCAGGGCCGGGGCTGTTCTCCGGGACACCTTCCCTGGCAAGGGGGCCAGCTACACTGGCTCAAATGTATGGCGCATTTAGTGTGCACCGGGCCCTGAGCTAAGTGCTTTAACCTCAGGACCTTGTTTAATCCCCACAACATGGAACTTTAGCTACAAGGGAGTCAGAGAAATGCAACTTTTAGCCACCTTTGCCATGCAGGGGGTCTCAGAGGCCTGGGCTGGACGCTCTCCATTGGCCCCAGACCTGCTCTCCCAGCTGCTCTGTGTCCTGGGAGGCTGGCCCAGCTTCACTGGCGGAGACCGAAAGGAAGGGACAGAGGTCAGGCTGGCTCTCCTGCCAGCACCATGACCATTGGGCGGTGGCGGCAGTGGCTGCGGCCCTCTAGAGGAGGCCCAGGTCCTGTTGGGCAGCCTTCTCCTGCTCTATGGGCTCTGGCCAGCCTTGGTAACTGTGCCTTCCCCTTGCCCCTCCAAGCTCAGGGGGCAGTGGATTCCTGCTGCCGTTGGATTTGGGGGCAACTTGTGGTCCCTGTTGTCTCCTGAAGCCTCACCCCCACCTTCACCCCCCGTCCCTCTGCTAGCCTCTCCCTGGAGACCCCTTTGGGCATGCCGCTGTTTGGCTGCACACTGGTGGATGGACGTGCTGGCCGCGGCCACTGCCTGCCTTCTGAGTACACGTCTGGAGGGGGAGAGGCCCCACTGCCAGGATGAACCCCACCCCTGGCACTCTCCTGTCTGTCCTTGTCACTCTCCTCAATTTATCCCCCTGAAGAGGGCCCAGTGCATGTTGGGGGCAGCGAGGATGTTGCAGGAAGGGAGAGCGAGGGGAGTCAACCCATCTCCCTGTACACTTGGACCCTCCAGGAAGGCCAGGGAGCAGGTGTTTCTGGCCTTCTCACCCTGAGTCCTGGATCAAGTTGACACAACTGATGTGAGTCAGGGATGACTTGAGACCTAGAGCTCCCTGGGATTCAGCAGCCCCGACAACCAGTCTATGGGCTCCCTTGGGGGGCCTCAGGCCAGCCCCAGACCCTCCAGGGTGTCCCCTCCACACTGCCTGCACCCACTGCATTGGGCTCTTTTCCACGAACGTTGTCTCTCCTTTGGCAGGCAAGGGGCCTTGGCCCAGAGAGGGGCAGGGACTTGCTCAAGGTCACGCAGTGCAAGTGTGGCCTCTTCTCCACTCTGCCCACCCAGAACTTTCTCTCTGAACACACCTCCAGCCCATAGTTCTGCAAGCTCAGGTGTCTCACACAGTAGTTAAAATGAGTGTGACTTCACTGTTCCGTGTGGCTGGCTGTCTGCCTGCCCCATCCCCCCTACACCCCAGCCCCAGCTCCTTGGGACTCTGGTTGCCCCTGCACAGGAGCCTTTCTTGTCTCTGTATTCAAGACACCCAGTACCTAGCACCAGCCTGGAACTTTCATTCCTCAAATATTTACAGGCGTGTAAATGTTTGTTGATCTGATTTGATATAAAGTGATTGCTCTAAGGTGGTGGTTCTCAAACATGGGCGATTTGGCAATGCCTGGAGACATTTTTCCTTGTCCTAGCTTGGGGGTGCTACTGGCCTCCAGTGTGTCCAGGCTAAGGATCTCCCTGCCATGCACGGGACAGCCCCAGAGTCATTGGCCCCAACTGTCAGTCATGCTGAGAGTTCAAGACTGGCCTGATGGCCACAGCTCAAATACTGTGATGTCCCTAGAGCCCTACCCATGGCCATGGGTTGAACTCTTACCTCAGCCCAAAACTGAGTCCTTACTGTGGTCAGTCTGAACTTTGACTCTGGTCACCAAACAAGCCCCGACTGTGGTCACACCCTGGTCACTGGCTGAACCCTGATCCTGGTCACACTCTGACCCCTGTCCCCTGTCATTCATGCTTTGTGCATACACTGACTGCAGCCCCTGAACCTAAACTGAGCCTGGATCCTCTGGAATCCCACCTTCTAGAAAGATCTGTCACAAAGGGGCATGACTCCCTGCAGTCCCTTCCATGCAGTGGACCAGGTCTGGGTGTGGCGTCACCTGACTCAGCCTTGACCTCTTTCCTCTGCTCTGCTGCTCACCTCCTGGGCTCCAGATTTTCCTGTTCTCTCTTGGTCTCCCACCTGACTGCCATGGCCCAAAACAGCTAGGCTCTCTGGAGATCCTGCCCGTTCACATAGTGCAGGGGTTGCTCCAATCCCTGCCAGGATACCAGCCGGGACCAGAGAAGCCGGGTCAGGTCCAGGGTCTCCTGGGAGCAGACCCACCTGGTGCAGAGTCCCACCGCCACCTCCTGGGGCTGCCGCACAGTCCCATGCTGGAGCACACGTCGCTGCTGTGTGGATTTTTTATTTTGTGTAGACTTAATTTTTAAAAATAAAGAGAGCATGTTAATTACAAAACCACAACTGATTTCTGTTTAAGCCACTCTGGGTCCTTTCCTTTGGAAAAATGCACTTGTAGATCAGGAGGGTGACCCTGTTGTGGTCAGATCACAGACCACGAGAGTTGGGAGCACTCTCAGCGACAGGCCCCCATTTGGGGTTCTGGAAATTAAGGGCATGACTTGCAAGCTGTGTGTATGTCAGATATGTGTGAGGGTATGTTTGTATGTGCAAACTATGTGAGCATGAATGTGTGTACGTGTGGTGCCATATGTGAGAGAACCTGTGTGCGTGTGTGTTGGGGGCACTAAGTCCCTCGAGCACCCTCCAGGCAGCAGGCTGGGCAGCTGGGGCCCCTCAGCACCTACTCCTCCCAGCCCTCCCTGGCCGAGCACCTGCAGCCATGCCCCCATCCTGGGATCCAGCCCCCCTAACTCCCCAAGGGCCCTGCATCCCCAGAGAAAGTGCCTCTTCCTGGTTCTCACAAAGGTGCCATCAGGGGCCCTGCCTCACACCTGCTACCCTCCAGTCTCAGCACCAAGGTGGCAACAGGCACCGTCCCTGCCCCTGCCCTCTGCCTCCAGTGGCTCTCAGAGCTGTTTCTGCCCCTCTACCCTCTCTGCCCATGCCCACTCCTGCCTCTTGGCATGAGCAGAGGAGACCCCAGACTCACCTAGGTCAGCCCCCTTCTCTGAAAGCTGGGCATGGGTTTCACAAGCACCCTTTGCCAGGGAGCTGGAGGCCCTGCCAACCCTGTCACTGTGAGACCCACCGGAGCGAGGGCTAGTGGGTGACTTCCCCCACCTGAGGCCTTCAGAAGATGAGCAAGGGGCATCACCGGGGATCAGGCCTGCCTCCAGGCTCAGGGCTGCAGGAAGAGGGGACAGCATGAATGGGGCATAGCCTGTGGGCTTGTGAGAGGACCACAAGCGGTCGGCTCAGGCGTGTCCTTGTGGCCCAGTGAGGACTGGGCTTTATTCAGGGACAGGGATTGAGGTCCCCAGACTGACCCTCTCGAAGGCCCCTCCAGCTGTGAGTGGGGATGGTGAGGCCAGTCAGGAAGGAGGCTGTTGCTGTGTCCAGGAAATCTGGGGGTTGCTCGACCCTCTGAACTGGGGGATGGCAAGGGGTGGGGAACCCTCACTACCAGGCTCCAGGAGACACCAGTGTATCTTATTCCTTCTTTTCCCCTTTTTCTGAGCCCTCCCCACTACCAGAGTGGACTTGGTCCTTGAGATGAGGCCCGAGGGTCCTGGTGGTAGGAGCACCTGCAGGACCCCCATGCATCTTCGGGGTCGGGCCCCAGTTCTGTGCTAAGCCCCACCCCTGCCAGCGCTGTCCAGGTCCTGGGAGGTGCATGCAATCTTGTGTCCACGAGGCGGCAGCAGAGTGTCACACGCAGGGATGCAGCCAGCCCACTGGGGACTTCGCTGTCCTAGGAGACCCTGCTAAGGGAGCACTAGTCCAGTGGTCCCACCATGTGCCTGGTATGCTTTGTGACTCAGTTTCTTCCTCTTTCAAAAACTCGTCTGACCTTGCATTCCCAAATTTCTGCTCCACAGAATCACATGCAATAAAGTGGTTGCTGTTTCAAGCCACTAAGGTCTGGGTGGTTCGGTAGGCAGTAGTCTACAGATGATAGGGTGCCAAGGTGAGAAACCAAGAGAGCAGGGAGGCGGCAACTGCAAGATCATGGAGGTGCGGACCAAGGGAGGGCAGGTGGAGGGAGGGGAAGAGGTCGGATGTTGGGTGGATTTCAAGTTAGAGGATGTGGGTATTAGAGACCGAGAGAGTCAAGGGTGACTGATTTTCCTGGCCTGAGGGAATGGACGGTGAGTTGCCATTTACTACAATGGAGGGGGTGCAGGTTCAAGGGTGGGAGCAAGGCTGGGTGGGAGCCCCAGCATGCAGGTCTGGAAAGGCCGTGTCTGAGGTACTGTTAGAAACTGTGCAGAGACGTTGGGTCCCAGACAGGAGTCTGGATTTCGGGGGAGAGGTCCTGGCAGAAGACATGAATTTGGGAGTTGCCAGTCTTCGATGACATTTAAAGGCATGATGCTGGAGGACCCCCCTGGGAGTGGGTCAAGATAGAGAAAAGAGAGCTGGAGTGACCCTGGAATCAGCAAAGGAGGGAGGAG